GGCCCATTTGGGATGTTAGGGTCTCAACATAGTGATGCTAAAATTTGATGTGACTCAATTGTTATGTTTGAAATCACTTAAATTTAAAATTTTAAAATAAGAAAATTCCTTCTATTTTATTTTTTAGAAATTATTTTCAAAAGGAAATATATCAATTAAAACTTAAAATAACTTCAAAATTTATAGTGGATTTTCAAGTAGATGTTAGAGATGTAAGGAAAAATTGAGCAAAATGTTGCATTTTCCTCAAAGAATATGAGTTTCTATGATTTTTATAATTTTTTTATTAGATTGAAAGCCTTTTAGTAGAGAAAACTTAGAGAAATTTGGATAGTAATGTCATGATGATGCATATACACTTCATTAGTAAAATTTGTAGGAAGAAAGTTTTTCTTTACATCATATTATTGGATATCCCAACTAAAAATAAAAAAATTCTAATTGTGCTCAACTTTGTCACCAAATAGAAGGGTTCATGGCAATCAATTATATAAAGTTGTGTATAGCCTCTAGCTATAAGTCTAGCCTTATACCTTTCTACTAATTTATCAGCTTTATATTTTATAAAACAGACCCACTTACAACTAACATCATTTTATCTTTGGACAAAGTATAAGTTCCCATGGGTTATTATTTTTCCTCAAGAGCATGCATTTCATTGTCTATGGCTTGTATCCACTCTTTCATAGAGAGCTTTTGAAACATTCATTAGAATAGTAATATCATCTACAATAGCAATGAAGGTTCTATAAATGAGAGGAATCTTAAGATAGAAAAGAAAGTTGGTTGAAGGGTATAAAAGATATTTTGTGTAGACTCGTGGATGTTTTTTTAAGACAATATGAAGGTCATTGAGTTGTGAATGTTAGTATTTTTTGTAAAAAGAGCTGATTTATTGGGTATTAGCTAAGACATGTTTGGGCTATTGGGTTGATCTGAAATTTGGAGGTACTTGTGTCTTGGAATAAACTTCACCAAAAATGAGAATAGACACATGAATTAGTAGAATGATCATACTTGGAGGACGAGAAAATCCATCTATAATGAGATCATTTAAAGGTGAGAATGGCAAATATGTGTCTAGAGAAGATTTCTAGAAATAAAACTTAGATTCATGAAAAGTAAGCATCCATAGTTATAAATAGTTTTTTAGTGAATGGATGATAAAAATGATGATATTTTTGAGTAGTCAAATATCCAATGAACACACATTTGGTATATATTAGTTGGATCATAGTTATGAACAAATGAAACACACCTAAGTATGCAAGGCTCTAGTAAGGTGTGAAGATGACTAGTAGGGAAAAATGTAGTTAACTTTTTTATAGGACTTTGAAAATATAATGGTGGGATGACAATTTATCAGGTATGATGTTGTTAAGATTGCTTCTCCCTAAAAAACTTTGGGTTAATTGCCTTATAAGAATTAGAGAGAGAAAGAAGGGCGTCGTCATATACATACTGTGTATCAACAATGAAAAACACAGCTTATCTTAATGGAATTTCAGGTAGTTGCTGTCTCAGTAGGGTTCGAAGGGTTGTAAACTCTATACCTTGCAATCGGAGGTGTGCCATTTATTCATCATCAAGTGATTCGCCTTGAATGAGATTCTCTCCCACGGCTAGCAGCTCTCGCCTCCTCTTGGTGGAAATAAGGAAGGAGACATGGTGATCATCAAGTTGATTTCAAAGATCTGATGAGTTAAGTATTTTTAGTTAGAAAGTAGATTTTGATTAGTATTAGAGTTGATCATGTAATCTCTTTGATCATGTAACATCACCCATACTTTGATAAATCTATTTCATGTCTCACCCTCCTTTCTTTCTTTTCGCTTTTCCTTTCTTCTTGTTTGTGATCTCAGTAATTCTTTCAAATTTTAGTCAACAAATAAAAGTGAACTCTACCCATCATTCCTTGAGGATTGATCCCTAGCTGACCACAATACTTAATTAATTCAGAATATAATATAAAGGAGTGAATACATTAGTATAAATATTGTTGATAAACCAATTTTGTGACTATTCAACGACCCTTGAAAATGATTTATCAAGAAACCCCCCTTCTGAAATGACTAGTCCATCAGCTCCAAGAGAGGGTCTAGATGTTTGCCTCCTCAAACAACACCTTCACCAAGTACAAGTCTAGATGAAGCATAAGCTAAATTGATCATTCATTAGTTGCTGATTTTAATGCATGTAAATTTAACAAAATTTATAAGTAAATTCTCTAAATAAATTATAATATCAACATCAGTTTAGGTCGATCCTGAGAGATGGTAAGAGCTAGTTTTGATGAATTTAATTTTCCTAACATAAATATTAACTAAAATAAAGTAATAAAATGAAATGGGATGAGATAAATGATGTAATCTTTTCTTCAATACTTTATATCTTCCTTTTCTAATTAATTTTGTTAATTTCTATCAGCTCTAGATGATCACAAGTAGGGTTTTAATGATGAAATGATTAAATCATGAATAGAGAAAAATAAATTAGAGATTATGAAATAGAAAGATGAGAAGGGTAGCTGCCAATAGAATGACTTCTATTGACATGGAGAATTCCTTGAAATAATTAAATCTAAGATCACAATATATATATATATATATAAACACCTTGGTTGTCAATCAAGAGTAAATTAAAATAATTAAATTCATGATAAAAAAATAAATTATAAAATTAAAATCAAACGTTGTTGTTTGTCACTTAATAAAGTTCTATAGAATTAAGAAAGCCTTCAATTAGAATATAAACCTAAACTAAATCTTACAACTTCGAATAAAAATATTTTCATTTCTTGTCTATCACCCAAGGATGAGAAAATATATTAAAATAAATTTAAATCAAAATTTTAATTAAATTCGTAATGATGATGACTAAGAACAAAAACTAATCTTCTCTCCTTTCCTTGTCTGTCACCTAAGAAAATGAGAAAAACGAAATACTTAGATTAATTGAATTCGAAAAAAAAACTCTCTGATCAATGTCTGTCCCAGAACAGAAAATATAGAAAATAATACAAAAATAGAAATTTAAAATGAAAAGAACTCTATTAATCATATCACCCTTGATTATGAGATGCCCTTGCTTGTTTCCTTGGTCTTTAGTCTTCTCCCTTGCCTTTCCGTGGCCCCTGGCATCCTGGCCACCGTCCCCCTCTCTAGAGGAGCAAGGAGCCTCATTTAGACTTCCTTAGATCCGAAAATCTATCATTTAGTTTTGATTGAACTATTTTTCCTTATCTCTAGTCTACAGACTTTGACTCTCGTTCCGCCTCAATTCCCGTCAAAAATAGAATTTTTAGTGTATATAATTATTAATTAATAATTTAAAAAGCTTCATTTCAAATTTCAGACCAATCGGACAAGTATTCTCAGAGAAATCACGATTTTCGTATCATCATTCGTTGAGTTCTGTTTTCCCCTATTTTTCCGGCATCTTTCGATTTTTCCGGTCGGCTCCCCGCGCGACATGCGGGTCAACGGTCAACCGATATCTCGCCCCTTATATTATTTTATTTGTTCGTCATAATAAATTCACGAAAATTCAGAAAAACATCTTAAAATTTTGCGAAACTTTCGTTAAAATTCAAAATAAAATCCAAAAAATTAATATATATATATAATGTCTCAACTCATCCGGAATTCTAAATATTAAGATTTCATATTTAACCAACATAATCACAATTACATTTAACATTTTTATTTTCAAATAAATATTAATAAATCAATGAAAATACATTATTATTATTATTGAAAATTACATCATATGTGTATTTTTTTAACAAAATTAAGATAAAAATTGATGGATTTTGATCATATAATTCAGGGAATTATCATGAATCTTTGCCGACATGAAGTGACCCTGCAAGAAGGGAATATGGTCAACCTTCGCCTCTGCCCATATATGATGAAATCTTTAGCAAAGTGACCAAACAAGAAGCTCTCCCCCAAGTTTGATCAAACCATAAAAAATGAAGGCATAATTCAGTGGGGGGGGGGTGGTTGCTTACAAGGTCGACTTACCAGCTCACACTTCTATCCACCCAATGTTTCATATTTGATTGCTGCACAGGGTACTAGGATCTAATGATCGCAATCAACCTCTCCCATGCCACCTGGACAGTGAGATGACTTGGGTGGTGCAACCCAGGGCAGTATTAGACATGCTATCTACTTTGGCCTGTCCAAAAGTCTTGATCAAGTGGGCACAACTTCTAGAATTTGAAGCCTCATGAGAATGAACAACTTCTATTCAGTGCCAATTCCCCGAATTTCACCTTGAGGACAAGGTGAATATCATTAACATTCGATTAAAGGAGAAACAACTACCCAACAAACCCTTTGTGAATAAGTCTCTCTCTCTCTCTCTCTCTCTCTCTCTCTCTCTCTCTCTCTCTCTCTCTCTCTAGGTCCATTCTCCTTGCTATGTCTGTTTCTATTTCATGTGATTGCTCTATTTGATATTCCCTCGCATTCGGTATCACTTGGAATTGTATCAGCATTTCAACACAATCAAAGAACAGTTAACAATTTATTCACTTTGAACAAGATAGACAGACAGAAGGCATCACAAAGCATCAACTTTTGGTGAAAAGCATGAAGAGAATGAGATGTGAGCAACCTACTTTTTCTTCAAAACTGCATTCCCAAGTATGTTCTTTGCCTTTAGTGCCCCCACATCAAGCATAGAGCTCTTTCATTCACAGGTTCTCTCAATGGGATATACTCGTCTCAATCGGGTGATTATCTTTCCTGAAATTCATGAACAGAATAACACAACCCAGCAGTGTTTCATCCTTTTTCTGGGTCATTACATCATAGAATCAAGAGGATTCTATTCCTCTCTGTTCCACACTCGACTCACATTGAAGCAATGGATGGCTCCACTGCTAAATAGGTGCATAACAGTGATTTCTTTTGTTCTCCCAAGGACTAAAAGGTGACGAAGGTGGAAAGAAAGGTTCTAAAGAAAAGCCTTATTCCATGGCTCTGAGTCGACTAGAATGGTCGTGCAGCATCTTCCATCATCTTCTTCATTCTTGTCAGTTTCTCTATCTCTCTGAGTACCTGAAAGATTTATTTTTCATCCAATGAAGAAACTTCAGATTAATGTTTTCTTGTTATCAATGGATGCATCTATTCAAATGAGTTGGTTGTCTAAATTACCTCTAGGGCCATGTCCTCTGGTGTAACATCGCCCACCTCGACATAGCCTAATTTTGTTGCCACTTCTGTTAAATACCAAAAATGGTATTGATCATTAAATATAAGGTCACAGAAAATATGTGAAAATAATCGAACAAAAATAAATTGCAATGTAGGCACCCCAAGTTTTCTTGGGATATTGGAAGAAAATAAAATTACAGTCAGATAAAATTTACTTAGAAGGGAGACAGTTGCATCAGCAGTTGCATATCCTCCTTTCATTTTCTCATACTGTCTCGCCAGCTCAGTTACTGCCTGCATCATGGAACGATAATTGTGACACACTGTTGTCGGTCTTGCAGAGAACCAAGTAGAAAGACAAGAGAGGGGATGTTCTAACAAGAAAGACAAGCAGTGATTAATCGCCAGGGATTTTCCATTCTTTGTAAGGATCGAGTTTATTTCCTTCCAATTTCTCATCATATGCAGAAAAGGACATTGTGATACCTCGGGTTTCATTAAAAAGAGGAGCATGATTTATTAACTGTGAAATAATAAATACTTAATGATTAATTGGAAGAACAAGAGTGAAATATCAAGGTGGCATATGATCCTGAAGGCAATTAAACCAGGTGTTCAAGGATGGATTATACCAAAAAAATTGGCGACCTTAAATGATTATCGCATTTGTAAAATTTTATTATTCTCCGAGTTGATTTTGCAGACTTCAATCCATACGGACAAATCCAGCCTCTTATTCTGTCCCTGCTCAAATGCCATGACATTTTCATCTTCATTTGTTGTTCTTCTTACTGAGAAGAAAAATTTATCCCCATCGCAAAGGAATGACAGCAACCAAACCCTAGAATGGAAGGTGAATCCAGGAGAGAACGATTAAAAGGAAATGGGGATATTATAGTTTCATCAAAGCCTACGTTTCTTCCCTCTACATGCAAACAAAGGGGATGAGAGCCAGTTTTAGGAAATGAGGAGAATGCTTGAGTTCGAGAACAGCATCCACCACTTTTTCCTTTCATGACGGACAGCAATATATCATAACCAGAATGTACAGAATGCTCTGCGAGTAGAAACAAAAAGTAAATCCGAATCACTCAAAATGAAAAAGTGGGTAGTAGATATTGGACCTCGTCAAAGGCATCCAATGGGTCCTGTGCATTGGGGAATTGGACTCCATCTTTCAGCTTCTCATCCGCTATTATATCAACGGGGACATCAACCCATACTGAAATTCCATACCTCAAGTATGACCTTGAACGTAGAATGACATATAATTCAGACTCAAATGCAAATGAAATATCTGAAATGCAAGGACGCCGGAAAAAGTATCTCAAGATCTTCCTTACAGATTGGTCACTCCCTGGGATGCACCATCCCCGGCACACACCACTAGACGAGCCATAGATGATAGCTGTCTTAGGACTTCAGTCTGCAAGAAATTTTCACCATGGTGAATTCTTACCCTCATCCAAATCATGGAAGAAGCGGATCGCCCAATTCAAGATCGGCAGGCAATGAATGGAAAGGGAGGGTCAAACTTACTCAGTTTAATGCGTGATTATTCTCTTATAGACTTGTACAACAGTGGTTACCTGATATGGCGACTAACATACGTGGCAGCTAAAATTCTCACAGGGTAGTAGTTACCTCTGACTCGCGGAATCCCTTTTCATCTCTCTCCCGGAAATCTCTTGCGGGGCCTGCTCCACCAGCTGCTTCCTCAACTAAGTTGTCACTGTTCAAGGGTCGTTAAGAACGATAAATCATAGCCCAGCATTCAATAAATATTTTCCCGTCAATATATGGATGCTTATTGCTCACAGAACGGGCATACCAGTCAAAGTAGCAATAGCCTAATGCATCAGCTAGGACCATTCCCAACTTTGTCTTCATTGGGCCGTTCATCCCTGATATTGAAGGTTGAGATTGAAGTAATATGCGAAAGAGTTAAGCCGTCTAAAAAAAAACCAATTCACAATTATCTGCTTTAGCTATGAGATTTAAGTTTTGACTTTCAATGTGTGTTTATCCCGACACATCTGCTGTGTAGTTCTTGATCGCTCTGACTCGTAGACACAAATGGGACACAACCCAGGACAAGTTCTTAAGCTCTGATATAAAGTGGAAGGATCAGATTGCCACATTGGCAATGATGGAGTATTAACCTATTTCAGCCACATTTTTTTCCTTTTCATTTAAATTGAAGACTTGTTCGAAGACATTATCATTTCCAGGCAGAGGAAGTATCACGCAAAAAGGAAAGAATCAGGTCGTGAAATTGGAGATGAATGGAGCAGATTAATATTGCACAGATAATTGATTTGGCTCGTTCGTTTTAATGAGAGACTTGTTATAAAACAGTCTGGTTTCTGAGAAGATACAACATCATGCAAGGAGCAGGGAATAGCTGACCAACAAGGAAGAGTGAAGTCCCTTTCAGTGAGTCCACGAGTTCCCCCGCTTTAGCCTGCGTAACAGAAAGATTGAAGCATGTTCGGCTATTTTCAAATGATTTTGATGTCTCAATATAACGCTAAGAGGATCCCTTCCCTTAGTTTGGAGTCAATTCGAGGAAGGGAGGTATTTAATGGATTTCTTACCTTCAACTCAAGAGATGGCTCGAGCTCGACAGCAGACATTGTGGCACCTTGAAGAGAGTGATAGAACAATTCAATTGATGAGCAAGAAAATCATACTCTACTTTCACAATGAGAGAAGACAGAAGACAGAAGAAGATAATGGAGAAATCAATCGTCAGAGCCAAGAATTCCCCAACCCCCCCTCCCCTAAAAAAAGGAAATCCCGGCACACGAACTCGGTATAAGAAGATTCGCGGCATCAACGCTGCATTCTCCAAGGAGCTGGGAGGATCCGAGCAGAAGTAACGATACGCCGACAATACGGGAGAAAATAAATCATCAAAACAACCGCGTACTCTTCGGAGATGAGGATGGCGTAATCCTCACCGGTAGAACTCCCGTATCGAGAGCACTTTCTCCGCCGTCGTCGCCGAGCCATGGGCTCCGCACAGTGCGACATCCCGGCGTCAGCCGTCAGCCGGCGACAGCCGACGGCGCTTCCGGAGAAGGAGAAGCCTGAGACAGGGCGTGATCGGGAAGTTGTAGCTTGTCCCCACGGAGACGGAGGAGAAGGAAGAGGGAGACGGGATCGAGCGGCAGAGACGGCGGTGGCGGCGCTCGTCGTCGCCATTGTTACCCCTGCAAGTCCACAGCTCCACCCCCCTTCGTCGCCCCCACTCTATCTGCCTCTACGTCCTGTGGGGCCCATCCGGGGAGGGCCCAGTTAGCGCGACTGTGGTGGGGCTTGGGCTTTTCTGGTTTATGGGCCATATAAGGCATGGGCTGTCAAAATATCAAATCAATGGACCGGGCTGAGATTTTTTGTGAAAACCCCTTCTCGCTTGTTATTTTTTGACCAGACATGCAAATTGCGAACTATATAATATATTATTATGATCTACTATTTTATTTGGTAAAATGTAAGAATTCAATGCGGTCTTATCCTCCTCTATTAAAAAGAGCCCGTGGGCCTAGTGAGCCTGAAAATTAGCTCGGCCATGTTCCCTTTCGGGCTTGGCCTTCATATTTTGGGGCGATTAGGCTTTAGGCCCGGACCGTACATGATTTGGGCCTGCTTCAAGCTTAGATAGGTAACTGCCCCAGAAGCACGTACAACTCTCTCTCTCTCTCTCTCTCTCTCTCTCTCTCTCTCTAACTATCTATCTATCTATCTATATCTGTATCTATATATATATATATACATACAGAACCAAGTGCAGGCTAGACTTTCTTCCTCTCTCTCTCTCTCTCTCTCTCTCTCTCTCTCTCTCTGTGTATTGGAAGGTCAATCTTACACTGAGAGCCCAATGGGCTTCAGTGGGCGTTGACTTCCAGAGCTCTGATCCAAAGTCCATCGTTGGGGCCCATGGTGGGCCATCGGTTTAACACAAATTTTATTTAGACCTCCATGTTTCAATTTATATAAAAAAAGGAAATTCAAATTTTAGACTGAAATTAAAGAAACCCCAGTCTTCCTCTCTCCACAGTCAAAATTTGACGGTGCAAAATGCAAATTCCTCCGGTCAACGAAACCCCAGTCTTCCTCTCTCCACAGTCAAAATTTGACGGTGCAAAATGCAAATTCCTCCGGTCAACGAAACCCCAGTCTTCTCTGACCAAGTCAACGTCCCCTCCTCTTGGTCCTCTTTTTATGCCCAGACCCAGCCCAAGCTGGGACTATCACTTCATACAAGTCATATTTCCATAGTTCCCCTATCGAACTATATAAAAATTTAATGCAATAATCTTGCTATCCTAAATGATCAGTAGATGATGAATTATACCGAAAATCCTTGGTTGAATGAATGGGGATGACTAATCTTTGCAAAACTACTAATAAATATCAACTAATTTTCTGGTCCCACATGGAAATATCCCAATAAAACACCAAAACAGAACAATTAAATAATATTTTTTTATATTGAAACGGGTTGATAATATTAAAATGATGTCCCCAGTTTATTAACATTTAATAAGCATTTAGTGAAAAATTCCAAAGACACGGGTCGTCAAGTTCAGACCAAGTTCTATTGGTTTTCACATTGTTGAAAGTCTTGCTTGAACAAACTGGGATGACTAGTCTTCGTTAAAAAATAATAATGAATAAAAATTATAAATATTAAAAATAAAACTCCCATTTTATAGATATTTAATAATATTTAAGTGGATAATTTCAAAGTGTGAGTCGGTCCGGGGTCATGGAGTTTAGACTTTACTCGTTCAAGTTAACTATTTTTGGTATGGGAGATGTGAGTTGGAGGGGGGTTGACTTTGAGGCCATGGACATGAGCCAAATAATGGCTTTAAATTAATAATATATATCTTTTAAATGATTTTTTTTAAATTTTTAGTGTGGTTGGAAGTGTGACAATAGCCACAGGGGGTTTGACTTTGGGGACCTTGAGATGACCCCATGAAGCATATTAAACGAGTAATATTGGATATTTACTCTAAATGAAATCCTCCAGCGTCGAACCCACCAGCCAAATATGGTTTAAAATTAATGCCACATTTTAAAACTTCAAACAAAATAAAATATATTTTTTTAATGCGGTTGTAAAGTGTGACGATAGCTACAGGTACGATCTTGTTGCCCCTCAGTCAACGCGGCAGAGAGGAAAAAGACAAAAAAATAGGCCCATTGTTCGTCGGTCGCTGGCCGCGTGCCGCCATCCGTAGGCCCCACAAGGTTCTCGCGAAGGCGCCCTCAACTGACTCCCGGTTACCGTTAATGTCGATCGGATCGTAACGTCCGCATCGCTGACTTGGCCAAAATATGCCACGTATCCGAGACGTCGTCGGAACCGGTCGTGTCAGCCGAGCCGAGCCGAGCTGATCGGTAGACAGTGCGTAGGTGGCTGGGGCAGGGAAGCAGTAAATGGCCATCGGAGGGGTATTTAATGGATTCACCTAACTTCCGACACGTGTCAAATCTACTCTGACCGGAACTGCTACATGGTCAGCGTAGTAGGCTGACTTATCGTATGCCTTCGCAAGACGGCTCCCTAAGACCCTCATATTTAGTGGAAACTACGAAAATGCTACCATCTTTGGGCAAAATATCCTCTTCTGCTTTGTAATCAGCAAATTTAAAATTATTGCGTTCATGTCCCTAAATGTAGCACATCATGGCCGCTAAGTGGTCCTCTGTCGCCGAAAAATGAGACTATAAGTAAATGACGTTAACACTGTATTCATCAAATGGGGAAGATGACGGGGGAATTTGGTTGTGACGTGAATATTTTATCAACGGGGGTTTAGAAGAAACTTCTTGACGATAATAATATGGGCTTATGAAGACAGACGCCGTTTGGGGTAACGGGGGGCGCCGCGGTTGTCGGATGAGACCAGAGTGGCGGGTTTTGTAATTTTCTGAAAATCCTGGGGCCCATGTTATAAAATTCCCTGCAACTCGCTGATCAACAAGGGACACGACGTCGTGGAGACGGCAGGGCAGGGCTCCTCCCCTGCTGCAATACAGAGGAAGAGAGAGAGAGAGAGAGAGAGAGAGAGAGTGAGAGAGCAGGGGGGAGCGGGGGCCTCGTCATGTCGGCTTTTTCTTCGTGGAGGCGAGACTGTGTCCTGCCAGTAGCCAGTTCTCTGTAAGAGATAGATAGAAAGATAGCGAGAGAGAGATTGAGGGACAAGCCTCTGAGGTTGAGGGTGCCGGGGAAGGGAATGGATGTGGGCACGTACTGGGCGGCGGCAGCGGCGGGTGATGGATGATCGCGTGTGGGGCGAGGGTAGTGAATAACTAATGGGGTGCGTCTGCGGTAAACCACCAACGAGAGATGGCGACGAGGAGGGAGGAACATCCAAGGAGACAGCGGCGGCGGGGAAGCCAGCTGGGGGTCGTACGGCGCCACCAGAGCACCGGCGCAGCGTGATTCCGCCGTATGTGCCGCCGTCCCCCGGGAGCTGCCCCCGGTGGCCGGCGTGGCTCACGGAGGTGGCCGGTGAGGCGATCCAAGGGTGGGCTCCTCGCCGCGCCGACTCCTTCCAGAAACTCTCCAAGGTGACCTCTTTCTCTCTCCTCTGCTTCGTGGGTTCGTCCTCTTCATTCATCTTCTCTCCGGTCGGTTTCCCTCTCCAGATCATCATCATCTCTCTCTCCCTCTCTCTTTACTCTGCTTCGTGGGATCATCCTCTTCGATAAGAGCTCTTCTTTCTCCGGATCATGCATCTTTCGCCAGTACCCATCTGCGAATTTCATCCCGAGATCGTATTCAATACTGAAACTCGCTCGTCCATGTTCTTCCCCTCAGATTGCCCCCTCCCTCCCTCTCTCTCTCGATATATGTACATCTCTCTCTAGAGTATTTTTCTGAGAGAAATAAATGATCTGTGGGTGTGGGCTGGGGGTATTAGATTGGGCAGGGGACGTACAGCAACGTGTACAAGGCGAGGGATCTGGAGACGGGGAAGATGGTGGCGCTGAAGAAGGTGAGGATGGACAGCGTGGAGCCGGAGAGCGTCAAGTTCATGGCGAGGGAGATCGCGCTGCTGCGGCGCCTCGACCACCCGAACGTCATCAAGCTCGAGGGCCTTATCATCTCCCGCGTCTCCAGCAGTATCTACCTCATCTTCGAGTACATGGAGCACGACCTCTCCGGCCTCCTTTGCTCCCCCGACCTCTCCTTCTCCTTGCCCCAGGTACCCCACACCTACACCCTCCCCCCCTCTCTCTCTCTCCTCTCCACTCTCTCTCTCCTCTCTCTTTCTCTCTCTCCCTCTCCTCCATTATACGACCTCTTAAGTAAGGTGTCATCATTCACCGTGACTATAAACCGATGATCATCGCGGGAGTGAAGTCAAAGCTGTTGACTTTCCCATGGGCAGCTGAGTTGCTCTAGTGATTCCACGTCATTAAAGAAAACCGACAAACTATTGGGGAGTTCCATCTCCAGGAATTTGGATGCATATAGGAACTTCTTGAGCTATCATGATGGGTGGAAGGTCGAACGGGTTGACTTTACCTGTGGCATGGCAACAATTATGGCGAAAAATTAAGAAAGACTCGATCTTGATGGAATGTATTCGAGATGGGACTGTTCATCCATCTTCTTCTTCAACCTGAGCAGATCAAGTGCTTCATGAAGCAGCTGCTCCAGGGGCTGGAGCACTGTCACAGCCATGGCGTCATGCACCGGGACATCAAGGGCGCTAACTTGCTGGTCAACAACGCCGGCGTCCTCAAGATTGCAGACTTCGGGCTCGCCCTCCGCCGCCACCCCGGCGACCGCCGCCCGTTGACCAGCCGGGTGGTCACCCTCTGGTACCGCCCCCCCGAGCTCCTCCTCGGCGCCACCAGCTACGGCTTCGACGTTGACCTCTGGAGCGCTGGCTGCATCATGGCGGAGCTCCTCTCCGGCCGCCCCATCCTCCCCGGCAGAACCGAGGTATCCTCTTCTTCTTCCCCTCTCTCTCTCTCTCTCTCTCTCTCTCTCTCTCTCTCTCTCGCTATCTATTTATCTTTCTCTCTCTCTTTCTGACATTCGGCGCCGCTGGTTGTTGTTGAAGGTGGAGCAGCTGCATAGGATCTTCAAGCTGTGCGGGTCACCGCCGGGGGACTACTGGAGGAAGCTGAGGCTGCCGAGGACGGCGATGTTCAGCACGCAGCAGAGCTACAAGAGCAGCATAGCGGAGACCTTCAAGGATTTCCCCCCTCACTCTCTCTCTCTCATCGAGACGCTGCTCTCCCTCGACCCGGCCGACCGGGGGACGGCCACGTCTGCCCTGGACAGTGAGGTCAGAATCATGGGCTTGAGTTTCTCCTCTCTGTCTGTCTGTCTCTCTCTCTCTCTCTCTCTCTCTCTCTCTCTCTCTATCTATCTATCTATCTATCTCTATCTCTATCTCAGTGTGCTGTGTATTCTGGGTGCAGTTCTTCAGGGTGAGCCCCCTCGCTTGTGAGCCATGGAGCTTGGCTCAATATCCCCCCACGAAGGAGCTGGATGTGAAGCTGAGAGAAGAACAGTCTAGAGGGTATGCATCTGCTCTCTATCTCTCTGTCTACCTCTCTATCTCTATCTATTTACTTCTTCTCCGTCCGCCTCAGGAAAAGGAGTGATAACAAGGAGAAGGGAGGGGGATCAAAGAAGCCTCCCCGACCGCAGAATCGCCGCCGGGCAAGGCCGGCGCCGGAAGCAAATGCGGAATTGCAGACCAACATCGACGTATGTGAATCTGAACTCCTCGCTCCACTCACTCTCGATCTCCTATTTCGGCCCATTTTTTCTTCTTTCGGAAATCCGCGCTGACTATCTCCGACAGAAGAAACTCCTCGGATCCCCACCTCCCAAGAATCGATCTTTCTTGTGTTCAGAATTCGCGGGTTTTCATTGGCTTCCTCAGGATTATCTTCTTCTTTCATCTTTTTTGGCAAAAAACAAAACATGTTGGGGGATTTCTTCTGATCAACTCCTGTTCTTGTCTGCAGCGGCGGCGGCTGATGGCTCAGATGAACGTGAAGAGCAAGAGCGAGAAGTTCCCGCCGCCGCATCGCGACGGCGCCGTCGTCGACCAGCCGGAAGAAGCGCCGCCAGACCGCCGCCACATGACCTTCGTTGTGCCCGAGGGATCATTCGACTCGTCGGTCTTCGATCCCAAGAACCTGCCGGAGTACGCATTCCCCCGGGCCGCTGCCGGGTATTCGAAGCCAGGGCGGCCGCCGTTCCTCTGGGGGCCCTACCGGAGGAAGAGCAAGTCGGTGAAGACGGACGCCCAGGTGGCGCCGGCGCAGATTTTCGGCTTGTCGGAGCCTGTGAAGGGCGAGAGGGTCCACCGGAGGGTCAAGGGGAAGGAGATCGAGGCCTCTGCGGGCGGCGGCGGACTATGAACCTGGGATGATGGGGTTGAATTTAGCTTAGCTTGCTTTCCTTTTTTAGTAAATGCCGTCATTTTTGGTACTCTCTCTCTCTCTCTCTCTCTCCATAGCGACATTTGTATCTCTCTCTACTTAGGCATCTCTGCTTCCGTCATGTCCCGACTTGTACAGTTTGGAAAATAAGCTTCTGGCTATTTACAAGCCTTTGACTTTGGTAATTATATGTTCCTAAATGCCCAGCGAGAGAGAGAGAGAGAGAGAGAGAGAGAGAGAGAGAGAGAGAGAGTTGCACAAAACAGGTGGAATTCTTTCTTCGCTGAGTGGGTACATTAAGTCCAAACGTGGAAGGTATTCAATTATTTTCTAGGGAACTGTTCTTCGCTGTTGCCAAAATTTGACACCAAACGCAGAGGGAACAAGGATGAAGGTGGAGGGATGCACAGAAATTCCAAGTATTTACAGGGTCAGGTGGCTGGATCGGATTCCTTCAAGCATTTGCATGGGGAGACCAAACCTGTAATCCATGAAGCGGATTTAGCTGAGCACCAAACCAAACGACAACAGAAGATAGTGACAGGATTTTTTTTTATTTTTTTATTTCCTGTACTATAAATAATATAATAGAAATTAGAATCAGGAGGGGTGTTCTGATTTTCATGAGAAGTTTTCAAGTGCAGATGGCAAAAACGATCAGAGGAAAATAAAAAAATAAAAAGAAAATGCCATCAGCCGGAATCATGAGAAAAGAGTGACCAAATTAAGGAAATCAAGCTCAACTCTCATGAAAGCCTTCTACATAAAAGAGTGATTTTTATACATTTTTATCAATTATAATTGCAATACCCGTGTTCAATCATCAAACCTCAGTCTGCCCAATTTGGCAACTCGGCCTATGATTGCCATCCTGATTCAAACATCACTATCCACCCACTTATAAAGAGCATAAGATGGTCGTTGTATATATATAATCATAAGAGGAGGCACATCAATCAATCACTAACCTCTGATTTCTGTTGCACCATCCATGGCTTCATATAATGTTGTCTCTGGCAGGAGATGAGAAAGAAATAGGCATGAGAGAAGGCGAAGAGACTTCTCTGGCTGCATCTTGACTGCTAGGCGCTTCCATGAGCTTCACGGCATCTAGACTTGACCTCTGACTTCTTGAAGGTATGGAGAAGCTGCGCGCCATGCCTCCCTGAGGCATCGGCAAGGGGGAAGCCACCTGGGCAGCAGGGGGAAGCTTGCCCGACATAGAAAGCTCTCTGCTTCTAGATACCAGAGGGGCTGAATGGCGGACTAAACTGAGCCTTGCAGCTAAGCTAGCAGAGCTCGCTGGGGGCCTGGGAAGCTCATGAAGCTCAGTTATCTTCGGTGAAGGCCTCATTGGAGGCGGCGAGGCACTCAGAGACACCTTCGGGGACGTAGAAGGCGGCCTGGGGACATGTAGCGGCGCCGCCGAGGCCACCGGAGGTTGCACAGAGGGAAACCATGAAGACTTGCCGGACCCTTGGCTGAGCAGTGGCCCCGAGAAGGCTTGTCTCTTGAGTTTCTTGGCATCAGAATAATGTGGACCGGATTGGGCTGGGGAATGGCCCCAGCTTTCCTTAAGTGGCGGCGGCCTTCCGATGGGCTCGCTGTTGACGACGGTGGCTTTTGGTGGTGGGCTGGCTCTGAGGTTCTTCTTGTACAGGTCAGGTGGTTCCAAGGGCATTGAGTGCCGGGATTGGCTGCGCCAGGTACTGTTTCCGTCGAGTGGGGCCAATGGGACCGAGGTATATGAGCAAGATTTTGAGGAGATATTGCAGTCGATAGGTGTTGGGAGAACATATGTGCTGAACTTCTTTGTAGATGTGCGCCGCAAATATGCCATCCCTTCGCCTGGATCGACCTTCTTGTCAGGAAAAATGGGTGCTGACTGGCTTCCAGGATGAGGTCTACTGAGGTAGATGGAATCCGATTGACCCTTCTCCACCACATTTTCCTACAGAATCGGAGAAAGGTCAAACAGTTTTTCTCTCTGCCCAGGTCACACATTTGCCACATGAATGACCCACGAAGAACAGTCAGATTCAGAAAGCCAAGCAGCGGTTTCTCTAAATTAAATACTTTTTTTGTCATTTATAGTAACATTTCTCCACACGGGTATGAAGAAGAGAATGATTTAAGGAAAGAGGGCAGAACCAAAAAAAGAAGCACCTGAGCAACTTCCAGGGATGAAATTATTGTAGACGCTTTGTCTGGTTGATCCAGCTGCATGAAATTTAAAATAATACGATCAGTGTTTATGAAGAAAAATGGAAGGATGACGCCTGGCGTTGAAAGCTAAAATGCAGGGCAATGATTTTCGGCAAAGGAAAAGGCTTCAGCATGCTCAAACTCTAGGACATCAATTCATGCATCAATCATCCAAGAAGAAGATAGCACTGGATCACAAACTCCACCCCTCGCCTGCCATTACATCACAGCTCCCTGGTGTGCTCAAAAGCTATGTGAGGATATTTAACCTGTTATAATCGCCAGACACCACCGACCCAAGTTCAAAATAAGTATGCGTGGGGATAAGTAACATGCACACAAGCAGAATTCCATCCACAAGTCGCATGTTCTTACGGGCACATGATACATTGGGAGCAGCTATTCGTTTTTTATTCCATCCACAGTTTTTCTTATGGTCACATGATACATAAGAAAGAAGTCATACTCGAAACATCAGAATTCGTTTTTTATTCAAATTATTCATCTGGATCATTATCAGTCCGCGATCATCAGAGCCCGACACTCTGACTGAATTCTCAGGGAAAACAGAAACAAAGTGTAGAGTGATGAAATGGTGACATAGTAGTCCAGGTGGTTCAATAGAATTTTCACACATTTAAAAAAAAATATTAAACTCGATGAGTTTTCATAGATAATATGGGGATCAAGGGAAATCCTATCAGATAGAAAAAATGCAGAAAATTCTCAATGCAAAAAATCATGACATTAAAAAAAGAGGTGGGGTGGTCCTACCTCAGAGTCTTTATATGCTAAAATAGTATCATGGACTGGCTCGTTCTGCCCATAATCAAAACTCAATTCCCCGTTATCAGTACCATCAGACCCATCTTCGACACCAGTATCGTCATTGTAGGTATCATCTTCATTTTCATCCTCTGTTTCATAATCCTCCAGTCCACTGAACTGGTAATCGATATGCTGTTTTTCAGCCACCATCTTAACATGGGGTTCGATGGCCTCTAGCGACTTTATTCCTTTTCTAAAGAAATTCAACTGGTTCCAACAACAAGAGAAAACTGTAAGATGGCAAATTTTCCGCACGTTCAAGGAAAAAATAAACAAAAGCGTTCTTTCTGAGGATAAGAAACCTGTGCAGAATGATGCCGGGCAGCTTGAGTCAGTAGGCTTCGGGATTGTCCTTGCTTCAGTGATTTCAAACGGAAAACAAATAGAGTTGCTTCCTCGTCATAGTCCTCTCGTGCTTCATGTAGCTGCTGGTGTGAAAAGCTCTCTCTTGAGTTTTTGGAACGCCCTTTTTCTCTTGTCGCTGCTAGCATGTGCTCATACGCCAGTCTGGAAAAAAAAATTCCTTATTAGAGAAAAAAACAAGAAGCCCTGAAGAAATTATAAAGGTAAATAGAAATAACTGCATCGTACCTTTTTCCATCACACTGGCGTTTCATCTCCTGCAAGAACAGATAAGCAGCCAATCAGCAGATAATTGTGAACATGAGATGGAGGTAGTACGTTGGAGGGGAGTTACTGGCAGATGATTAAGTAAGAAGAGCTACTTGCTGCCATATTATCTGGTGTTCTCTCAAACAGCAAACCGGAGTGAGCTTCATAATCCATGACCAAATTCAGACAAAAAATATTCTATGGAAACAAAGTATGCAAGAATTTATTAGAAATATTTTCCCAGTCTGTTATCCAAAGTTACATTCTATAAACAGACATCAGGTCTGGTAAGGGTAAAAGCACGGAACATAAAGTAGTAAGAAAAATTAAATAGATACGACTCTGAGGTTTTTGAACAGTTGAGCTAACTCCAACCGTGCATCTGCCAATGAAAACAGATCGGCATACACGTCTAACTGGACAGTTAAGGTACCCAAATTAGAGCTACGATTAGAAATTAATATAGGTGTAATGAAGGCAGACCTCTACGGTTCGAAGTTCGTTCAGAAGAGACTCGGACGGAGTTGATATTGTCAGTGTAATATGGGAGCGCTGAAATTGGAAGCCAAAGAGCCGTTATTTAGCTCATTTATCGATTTCCAAAGCATCTGAATTTGATTCCGTGCAAATATGCACTAACAGAGTAGCAAATAAAGCTTACATAAATATCAACCAGTTTCTGGAGCTCAAACTGCACCTTTCCCAGCATTAATAAAACTCTCCCTGAAAATGAGTAAAAAAAAACACAGCATTTTCAATTCGTTTAGTGATCAAAGATATTCCAATTACAGAGCGTCAAAAAGAATTTCAGGATGATATCTAAATTTATCACTCATCCAGTGCCAGGACAAAAAAAATAAAAGGAAAGTTAGATAATAGACAAGATAGCTAGCAGGTGGATGAATAAGAGCCATAAGATGGTGATGTCCCACACTATAAATGACATTGCATCTTCATATGTGAGAAATTAGGATGCAAGTATCTTGTCCCACACTATAAATGGCATTACATCTTCATACATGAGAAATTAAGATGCATCTTAAGATAATTCAAATATTAGCAAAGTGTCCCGTTTTTCTTCCTTTTGTTGTGAGAACAACACCATTAAAAAAATAGGGTACCCCAAACTTTTTAGAACAAATTTAAGGAAACAGCAGCATTTGTGCTCATTATTCCAAGATAAGGACTGACTTTTAGTGTTGTAATACGGTAGATATTCAGGTTTCCGAAATTGGGAGCGAGAGGTAAGACAGATTTACGTGCATGGGTTATCCTTTAATGAACTGGCACTTTGTCGAGGGGGGGAATGAGAAATAGAGGTTATTGAGGCTAGAACTTCACTAAATGATAAGAAAGTGCAAGAAGCAAGACTCCTACCACTGAATACTATCTCAACTTTGTCCTTGGGATGTTGCGTGATTCATAAATAGAGCTAACAAAACACAAATTATTACCTAATTCGAGATCAATAAATAAAGAAGAGACCATTCCTGAGTTACCATAATCCCACGATTTCCTAAACTCTAAAAAAAACATCATATCCAGTCCAGATTGAGGAGATATTGGTCAATCTCAGAATCTTTCCCTCCCTGAGCCAGACCAGGTAGTGCCGAGAGCCATTGCACACATTACATAGATTAATTTTCCCACGATTTTCAGGTGGCATTTGCTTTATCAACTTATATTATAAACTACATTTCCCTGGCCATCATCTCAAGCATGAAAAGAACTTGGTGTACTCACCACTATCTTCATCATCATTCAATGCCGTTCTCTTCAGAAGACATGAGCCCAGTTCCCCAAGGGACTCTGAAAATTCTGAAAGAACACAAATAGTCTCAGAAGCAAAACAAATAGGAAGGAGTTGTAATATGAGAGATTTGAACATGGAAAAGAAAAAAAATAATCAGAGAAACAACAAGAACATTATCAACCTGGGGTACACTACAAATAAGTAATGCAAATAATCACAAGATACAAGACGCAAGATGTAAATAAAATTATAGGGTAAAAGATTCCAATTTCAAGAAGAGTTTATTTTCAAGAGGAAACTCGTCTACTACAATACCATCGTCTAAACATGGAATGCATAAAATAAACATGCGCCAGCAAACACTGGAAGAGGGGGGTTAGGGGTGGTGCAAGAGGGAGAGAGAGAACCTTCTCTAGCATCTCATAATCCAATATATCTTCAACAAATACCATAAAAGATACGAAGAGATACAAAGAGCTATCAAATATTTTGATAACCAAATATCATCAAAAGTGATGTTTTTGCCGTTGACACAAAACTCACATTACCATTTTCCAAGATACCAACAAAAAGTTGTGTTATTCCATATGCGATTGCCTTGAAATATAAATCTATAATCAAGCCGTCAGCAAAGAGACACCATGATCTCCAAATCCCAACAAACTTGGAATTCCTTCACAAAATTCTATGTCCACACTGGAATCTCAGATCCCTTCTCCGTCCTTGTTTCCGTAAAATTTCTAGCTCGCAAGACTTTTCTGAATCCTCAAAAGTTGACTGATAATAGTTTGATAACTTACTCTTGTAGCTGACAATCTAGATAAATCTCTTTATGTTACTTTACGACTTGATTGTTGATGCCATCATGCATCCACTAAATATCAGAATTCAATCTAGGGAAATTCAAGTATGCTGACGTCAACTCTAAATCGTCCATCCCCTCACAAGGGCAGAATTTAAACCAAGGTATTGCAGACTAAAGTAGAAACCCAAGGTTCTCAACATGGGAGAACCAACCCTTCCTTCTAAATATCCTCTTAGACCTTCCTAGGTTTTTGAAGGAAAAAAAATAGAAGAAAAATAGGAGGGGCGAAGCAAATGAGAAAAAGGGGGGAAAAACTACCAGAAAGGAATGCACATAAAATATCCTCTACTTTCCCTTTTCATAATTTTTCTTTTTAAATATTATTCATATATTTTATTTCTCATTTGGATTAGTTTCTCTTCTTATATTTCGGGCTGATTCTGTATTAATTTGGCTTCTGCTGAACGGTCTAAGTTGGCTTGCATGATTGAGGTCGACTAATTCAGTGATTCAATCAGATTTCAGGCACCTTCGGTAAAGTACTAACTTGGCAGATAGTTGAGCGGGAAAATATTACATATTAATTTATTACTTGTAAAGGAGGATATTGACGAAGTTGGTGACCAAGGCAGAACGGATTTGTTCCCGATTACTTTTCTTTTTGGTACAAGTACCAAGAGAATTCATAAAATATAAATAAGCCGAATTCATGCTGATGACACAATGCAATTTTTTCAATACGATGATAGCAATGAAACATCGAGGAGATGGATGTACCCACCATATGCACAGTTTGCTGTGGCAGCAGCAGCAGATAGTAAACTATCATAGCAGTTCCTCATATCGCGCATGTCCTGAAAAGGAAGTCACCAAGCTTTAAAGTAAGAAAGCTGATCTTCTGAGATGTATAATTCAATCAAAGCATGATTGAGCTGATTGTTGCAAGGTCTAATCTGATGGCATGACACAATCATTCTACAACAAATACAAGATGTACTAGCCAACAATTTGAGCTCATAACCCTCAATAACCAAGTTGTTTATCTCAATGTAGTTCGGCATCTGGAACAGCCTATAGAGAAATACCAGGATGTTATAAACCGATGCCTACAAAAGAATAAGGGGGTGTGAAATGCAAGGGACTTAGATATTTATCTCATTTTTCCCGTCTTTTTTCCTATCTTTCAATATTTTCAAGGCTTTCAAAGACCTATATACAATAGATCAGCAAAGTGAATCACGTATAAATTTGGTAAGTAATTGTTCTCATGTTTTTTGAGGCTTCCATTTATCTGTGTGGTCTTTAGTTGCAGTGGCGTGTTTCCTTCACTTTATAATGCTTCACACCTCATAGTGAGTTTCTTACATGTCTGAGGTCCACATCCTCAACGAACGTCTGTGAGGAAAAGGGATGGGAGCAGAGGAAATCTGGTGAGCGGCAATAACAGATTTTTACCTTAAAAAATAACACAACTCCACTGGTGTTTCTTTGGAGCAGTCAAGATATCAGATGTTGTATGCTCATGAAATATTCCATGATGAATATTAGGAGACTCTTTCTTGCTCATGAAATGTTGTAGAATATCAGAAGAAGCTACTTGGTTGGACCTTACGAAAGACTAGGAATCCACTGGAAAGAAGAATTAGGCATTTTTTATCGAGCGCTTTAAGCACGTCAAACAATAAATCAGAGGACTTTGGCATTGCCATCTTCAAACAATACAACGTAGGCCGCGCCTAAGAAAGAGTGAGTCCTGTCTAATGGAGGACCGCCTGCAGAATAAGCAAGGTGCCCGAGCAAGTCGGCAGCACCTACGAAGAAAAACGAAAGAACTAACGAGATTAACCGAAATGATAACATTTACGAGAACAGTTTTATGCATTCTGTGCCCAGGGCACGGCGATCAGAGATCCTCTAGGGAACACAGAAGGGAGAGGGGAGAATTCGAGCGACTTTTTTACCTGAGATGCTCGAGCCAGCTCGTCAAGCTGCAGCCTGGGGTGCCCACCGCCCTTCTTCTCCTTCAAATCCACCCGGTGGTGCCCGGCGATCCCGCGCAGCTTCCTCAGCGAAGACTTCATCTCCACTCCCTCAAAATCCCAGCTCGCCACCGCACACGCTACCAATCAGCACCATCAATGGAAACAACAGAGGGACGCATTCTCTTTGCCCCTCCCCCCTCCACCACCCCCTTTCTCTCTCTCTCTCTCTCTCTCTGAAAATGAACAAAATACGAAGCCAACGAGAAGGGAGAGAGGGTGAGCGGCGGAGGTGGCGAGGGACCTCGATCCGGCGGAAGGGGAGGAGCGTTCTCCTCCGCTTCTTCCCTTCTTCCTCCGTCTCTTCCCTCGTCCTCTCCACACTTCCCCCTCTTTCCTCTCTCTCTCTCTCGCTCTCTCTGCCAGGTCAAAGCTCGGAGAGGAGGCAAGAGAGCCTATTATTTGGCGAAAATATGACCGGGGAGATTTGCGGGAAAGCGATATTACTTCACAGTAAACCCAAATTTATTTGACAAAGACTATTAAAACCTTATATTAATTAAAATATTTAATATGGAAAACTCGTGACCAAATCTCCACAGCCCGGGCTCACGCGTGGAGCTCTGGGCCTCTGACTCTTTTAAAAAGGATTTAATATTTTATTTTTTATGAAGGTGATATTTTAACCATTAAATATTTGAATTTATTTCGTATTAATTTTTAAATAGTCTTTTTATGGTTTTAAGAACATTTTGTCAAGTGAGCACAGTACGAGGGTAGAAACTTAAAATAAAGGAGTATAGGAATTAAATATTATTTTTGAAGTTCGTGGGTATTAATAAATAAATAAAACTACGAAGAGAAAATCGGGCGCTTGCGCTTCTGAATTAATATGATAATTTTTAAACTTTAATATAGACATGTAATTATCAATATTATATAATATATACATTAAGAATCGTCTATTTTCATCTAAATCCCGCCCGGCGTCCACGGCAGCGAACGCGGAGGGTGGACGGAGACCACCGGCGAAAACCCCCGACCAACATGGCGGTGACGTCCAAGCAAAAGGCAGCTCCTCTCTCTCTCTCTCTCCCTTTCCCCTTTTCCGACACGGAAACCACGTACGGCGTTGTCGACGGTCAACGGGGGCGTCTGATGTGGCGGAGGGTCGCCGTCGAGGGCCCGGCCTCGTCTAGTCAACACCTGTCTGAATCCGAAGCGGAGAGATCAAGAAGCCGTGGGCGACTTTCATTCGACCGATACTTTGACTTGTGTAGAGAGAGAGAGAGACAGAGAGACAGAGAGACAGAGAGGAGAGAAAGGGACACTCTTCCTCTCTCGTAATATTTCGGGTCGTAATCATCATAATCGTCTAGATTATGGTGGGTTGGACAACCAAGCGGAGAAAAAAGCGAACCGCTGATCAGCTGAGCCGCTGACCGTTGACTACTCCAATCATAGTCACATCTTCTCTCCCGACCGCAGCACCCCACCGACAGCCCCCCCGCGGGCCACTGCAATCTGCTTTGGCCTGAGAAATTTCCAAATCTGAGAGTATGTGAATTATGAAGACGAGGTGTTGGAACGAACGTCATCGTCCTCGCGTAGTGGAAGACATCAGAGGGGGGGGAGAGAGAGAGAGAGAGAGAGAGAGAGAGAGAGAGAGAGAGAGAGAGGGAGAGCACACGTTCAATCCTCGTTGGCATCACACAATGCTCACACATCACAGGGTTACATGCCCTTAATCCGAAATTCACTCCGAAGTCATTCAATGGTGATTGAAGGTATGTGTTGGATTTCGGGCCAGTCCTCTCCCTCCTTTTCAGCTCTTGAAAGGATTTCAGGGGACAGATAGCACAAAACAAGGTCCTTCAGAGCAGCCATGTGTTTCAACCCTTCCGGAAGCATCCTCAACTCCTTGCAGTTGTTGATCTTCAAGCTCCACAGGCGGGGCATGGCCCCGGCCTCAATTACCCACTCTTCTAACGCGAACAGTGAATCGAGTTCGAGGGACTCCAGTTCCGGGAACCCGCCGGCGGAGCAGTTCATCACGTTCCCTTTGTAGGATCCAGAACATAGATACAGATATGTAAGTTCAGGGAGCTTCTCGAGCGCCGCAATCGAGTCTTGACCCAGATTGGTCTTGTCTAGTTTGACTTCGTTGAGATTGGGGGGCCACTTGTCGCCGCCAGAACTTGATTTTTGTGGCCTCCTCACTTTCCCGTCCAGGGATAAGACTTCAAGGGAAGAAAAACCGGATGGTGTCCATAGACAATCTGGGATCGACTCGATTGAGAGCAAGTCCAACTCTTCAGGTGTGGCAACTTCGTAGCCCAGATGACAGCGCGGGATGATGACAGCCTTTGATGCCTATTATTTGCACCTCCCGGAGACTGGTAAGGCTCCCTAGGCAGCCATCTATCCAGGGCCTGCCCGGACGATCTTCAGCACCTGCATGCTTCTTAAGTCTGCCTCCACCATATTCAGCTCCATTTTTGGGGGAATAAGAACCTCCCGTAAGGCCTCAATCTTCCAGACACCTCAATCTTCAGCATCGTAATGATCCCTGTAAACTGTGCGTCCAAGCACTGTAGATGACGAAGTTTCTCCACTGAAGACGGAAGACTCGTTATCTTTGTCCAGCTCAAGCCCAAGTATCGAAGATGGATCACGTCTCCAACTTCTTCTGGCTGTTTGGCGATCGGTGCCCTCTCCAGATCGCGACTCTGAGCAGTTTCAGACGTAGAAAGGGGATGGTTCTGTTTGTACCGAATTCGCGATGGAAGAGGTCTCCTTGTCCTTGTATATTTCAAGCCCAAGTATCGAAGATGGATCAGGTCTCCAACTTGTTCTGGCAGTTTGGCGATTGGTGCCTCCTCCAGATCGATGACTCTGAGCAGTTTCAGATCTGGAAAGGCGGGGAAGGCTCTATTTATACCAGATTCGCGACCGAAAATCCGAAGGACAGCAAGGTGCGCAGTCTTGGGATGGACTTCGAGTCCCAGTACGACGCTTTATTCCCCTGAAGAGAAAGGCGCCGCACGGAGGAATCCAGTTGGGAGGCGCCTCCTCGGGTTTCGTGAGACGAGGAAGCCCATCTCTTTAGCCTCTCTAACGGTAAAATCGTGCAGCATATCATGGATCCGGCATCTTGGCCTAAGATAATCCGCACAAGTATCACCATGCACCTCTGGACGAGCTCTTCCAGGTAATCCTCTGCAGTTTCTTCCAGTGTTTCACCTGATCAGCTTGTCCACTTCAATCTCGAAGTCCTCTGGGAAAGAACTGAAATAAAGGAAACAACACTTAAGGTGACGGACAAGTCCTCGTTGCTCAGTGCCAGTATATCCAAGCACACTCGGCCATCTTTGCTGGTTTCCAGACGAGTTTCTCCGCGAGCTCCCTCCACAGCCCAAAGCGTCTCTGCAGATCTTTCGTGGACAGCAGACCGCCGAGCACCACCAGCGCCAGAGGCAGGCCCCCGCATTTCCTCGCGATTTCTTTCCCGACTTTCCTCAAATGTTCTGAACAGACTACTTCGATATCCTCCTGATTCGGGAACGCCTTCTCGGAGAGGAACACCCAGCTCTCCTCCTCGCTAAGTAGCCGCAAACTTTTCTCCGTCGTCGCCTCCGATCAGCATGGAGGACGAAGGACTCGACGAGGTCCTGCGCCTGATAAGCGATTTCCCTCACCTCCCGCACCCAGTGCTTCACCCTTTCCTCCCCCTTTCTCTTCGCATCGGCGTCCTTCAGGAAGCACTCGATCGCCCGGAGCTCCCTCTTGAGCCAGTCCACCTGATCTTTCACTGCGTGCAGGAAGACCGCTTCATCGATGAGGAGGTGTCCGACACACCCGTTGCACGACGTAGCCGAGAACAACGTCCCCCATTCCTCTCCTCACGCTCCTTCTGTGGTCGATCAGTGCCGAGGGCTGAATTTGGGAATATAATCCTACGTTCTGCTTTATTATTATTATTATTATTAGGAATAAAACTAAGTTTTTTAAAAAATATTAGGAGTAAAGTTACCTTCTGCTTTCATATATCAGGTATGAAGCTACTTTGTGATTTTTCTTATTAGGAATAATGCTACGTTCTGCTTTTTTAAATTAGGAATAAAGCAAATTCCAAGATGTTGAAAACTGAATTGACTCGAGTGATGCCACACCGATTTCAGAGTCGTTGCACCTGCAGGCTATTCTTTCCCACACTGATTTCAGTCGATGCTGCTCCCTTCTACTTGACTTCTCTAACCCTTTATTTCTCTCAAGGTGATGCCTCTCGGAAGCCTGCAATTAACAAACATGAGCATTAAGATATTGCTTTAAGCATTATAACCTTCCTTTTTAGGATTACGACTCCCGATATTGATAATTTTTTTGCATTTTCCTCAGCGAAGACTTCATCTCCACTCCCTCAAGATCCCAGCCCACCACCGCACACACTACCGGCCAGCATCATCAACAGAAACATGAGAGCAAAGCATTCTCTCTGCCCCTCCCCCCCCCCTCTCTCTCTCTCTCTCTCTCTCTCTCTCTCTCTCTCTCCCTCCTCTCCCCTCTCCCGTTGGAAAAGGATAATATTCTCTTGAGACAGAGAGAGAGAGAGAGAGAGAGAGAGAGAGAGAGAGAGAGAGAGAGAGAGAGAGAGAGAGAGAGAGAGAGAGAGAGAGAGAGGGCTTTATCCGAAAAATAAAAGCTGTTATTTGAATATTATTGACGATAATAAATGATATAATTTCGTTCAAACTGGAGAGTATCCGGTTCAATCCGTCGTGATTTGATGATCGGGGATGTGACTGTCATCAAATCCTCATAAAGTCAACAAGACGACTTTTTTTTGCAAAAGTCAATGCCTTAAAACAGTCGCTATACCGTTCGACTGGCGCGGTCCGTCCCGATCTGGCCAGGGCCCCCGGTTGGCGGATTTAAAGAACCCTATTGCGGAGAGGTTGGGCACAGTCCTTCCCGAGGAAGTCAAAGTTTTGACCTTCGAGTTTCTATCTTTAGCTGCCGACTTCCGAGCGCAGACGTCGAGTTTTACCGAATTTTATCTTTAGAAGAAGAAGAAGGCGTGGACAACAGAGCAGGGTTGACGTCCACGATGGCAGCGCCGCCGCTCTGGATGTTTTAGCAGGATCGCACCTTGACGAAGTTGTGACGTGGCTCCGGGCTCCTCGGTCAACTCCTGCAAGTTCCTCCCACTGTCTTCCTTCCCCGCCTTGGTTACAGATCCCTGGGAATTCTTCGCGCCGCGGGAGGTAAAGCCGGAAGCTAGAGAGAGGGAGAGAGAGAAGAGAGATTGTTTCTGTACAATTTCTTAAGATAATGACATACACCTAATATTATATCGTGCATAATTCAAATACTAGCAAGGTTGGTGTCCTGTTTTTCTTAATTTTGTGGTGAGAAAAACATCATTAAAAAAAATGGGTACCTAAAATTTTCAGAGAAAATTCAAGGAAACAGCAGCATCTGTGCTCATTATTCCAGGATAAGGACTGTCCTTTAGTGTATGTGCTGGATTCTGGGCTGGTTCTTTCCCTCCTTTTGATCTCTAGAACAGACTGTAGGATACATATCCAACAAAAACGAGGTCCTTCAAAGCAGCCATGCATTCCAACCCTTCCAGAAGCACCGCCAACTTTCTGCAGTTCATGATCTTCAAGCTCCTCAGGCGGGGCATGGCCCCAACCTCAGCTACCCATCTCTCTAATTCGTCCAGTGTATCACTGGCCCAAAATCCCCAAATTGGCCTATCATGAAACACAATAAGCCAACGAATGGTGAATTGTATCGTTTTATAATAATAGAAAATAAAAATCTTGTGAACCATTGCAATGCCTATGATATCTTGATCTTATAAACTATAATCATGCGATTGCTCTTTTACGAGTAATTTAATCAAATAATATTATTTTCTTTATTTATGACCTTTGTTTGTATTTTTCTATTGAAATTCTAGACTTCAAGTCTCTTACCTTGCTTTAAATATTTTTGTAGAAATAGTGCTCTTGTTTTCACCAAGATACGAACATCTCTCCATTTTATTTATTTTTAGTCGCCTAAGATTTACTGGGATATTTTTTCTGAATTTCAAAAAGGCCTTTTTGTCAAAGTGTGGAATTTTGTTAGCTTTGTATTTTCTAACAATTTCATGTAGCGTCGGCGGCGGTGATTTACCGAAGTCAGACCGTTGACCAATCCATTGGTGGGCCATCGCAATCTGCTTTGGCCTGATAAATTTCCAAATCGGGAAGTATGTGCGTTTTGAGGACGAGTTGTTGGAACGAGCGTCATCGTTCCAAGAAAGCTTTCTACGTCCTCAGCTCGACATACAATCCTCCTTGGCATCACGCAATGCTCACACCTCACAAATGGAGGCGGCGAGTTTCCCCAGTTGCGGGGACCCGCCGCGGGAGCAGATCATCACGTTCCCTTCGTAGGATCCAGGATCTAGTGACAGATATGTGAGTTCAGGGAACTTCTCGAGTGCCGCAATGGAGTCTTGACCCAGACTGGTGCTCCAGAGTGTGAGTTTGGTGAGCTTGGGGGGCCACTAGTCGCCGCCAGAACTTGATTGTTGTAGCCTCCTCGCTTTCCCTTCCAGTCGTAAGGCTTGAAGAGAAGAAAAGCTGGACGCTGTTGTCCATAGACAATCTGGGATCGACGCACCTGACAAGGCCAACTTCTTCAGGTGTGGCAACTTCGGTAGCTAAGATGACAGCGGGGGATGATGACAGTCTTCGATGCCTCCTATTTCCAGCTCCCGGAGACTGGTAAGGCTCCCAAAGCAGCTATCTATCCACCTCCCGGCCCGGAAGACCTTGAGCACCTGCAAGTTTCTTAAGCATGCCTCCACCATCTCGAGCTCCACTTGATCGGGAACGAGGACCTGCCGTAAGGCCTCGATCTGATGCTAACCTAATGTCCAAAAATAATTCCCATGGCATTTGACCTGATGGACACCTAAACAACTTTCAACATATTTCAAATAGGGTTTTTCCTTTCCATAAAACGCAATCAAATAAGATGCAGATCGGAAAAAT